CCTTCTTCTGGGTAACCCAAAGTCTTGATTTGCACCCGTTGTCCTGGTCTTCTTAGTAATGTTATCGACCAGAAAGAGTTCCTCCAGCCAGTGAGCTAGCAGAGCCAAACCCTAAACAGGGAGAACTGCAGTGAAGAAAGATTGGCTATTTTATTATGAAAGGCGCCACCCAGGAGAAGGGGAAGCTTATGCTCAGAAGCCCGAATTCCCTGACGGCGTGTAGGCTACAGATTATATAGGGCAAAATCATGACACCATGGGTTAGGGGTTTCCAGGCCTTGCTAGGAATCGAGGGGTCAGAGGTGAAGTAAAGATAATAAATCATTTCTTTAGGTCTGGAGGATAGTTTTGACGCGATTCCAGCGTCCCTCTGCCTGGTTTCATGGGAAAGTAGCCAGGGGGGTTGTCTTTCCACCTTAGGGCTTCAGAGCTGAAACATAGCTTAGGTCAAGATGTTACCTTGCCCTGGCCGGGTAGCTCAATTGGGTAGAGCATCCTCCCCATACTCCAAGGCCTCGGTTTTGATCCCTGGCCAAGGCACACACAGAAGCAGCCAATGTATATGTAAATAAGTGGAATAACAAATCGATGTTCCTCTCTCAAATCAATTTTTATTTTTTTATTTTTTNATAAATTCTTTGGTTACTCTCTCCCCCTCCACCCACCCGCCCTCCTCCCTTCCTCTGACATTCGTCAGTCTGATCTATGCCTCCATGTCACTGAATCTATTCTGTTCATCAGTTTATTAAGTTCTTTAGATTCCACATATAAGTGACATCATGTGATGTTTGTCTTTCTCTGCCTGGCTTATTTCACTCAGCATAATTTCCTCCAGGTCCATCCATACTGTCCCAAAGGGTACAAGATCCTTCTTCTTTACAGCTGCATAGTATTCCATGGTGTAAATGAACCACAGCTTTTTTATCCACTCATCTACTGATGGGCACTTAGGCTGTTTCCAGATCTTAGCTATTGTAAATTGCACTGCTATGAACATAGGGGTGCATATATTCTTTCTGATTAGTGTTTCAAATCAATTTTTAAAAACAGTTATCTTCAGCCTGCCAGAGGTCTGGACCTTGCAATCATTAGTCAGATCCAGGCCGCTGTCTTCTGCTGCCTGGGGGGTTGCTTATTCAGGGGAAAGGCCAGGTCTCCTGATAGGTATATATGTAGAGAGAGCTAAGATTTCTAGAGCTAGGATTTAAAGTTAAATTTAATCAAAGCCAGAAGGACCCTTGGTTTGCTGGTTTCACTCTTAGGAGTGCCCAGAGTGTCCTGGTTCAAAGGACAAATTATTTGGTCCCTCTGCCTTGGGGAGTGTTGGGGAAACAATGCAACCAGTGCTCATGGCCCTAGGGATGCTCAGAGAGATGTTAGGAGAGTCAAATGAGGTAACATATAACCCAGCAAACGAGATAAACTAGAGCCCTTTGCAGGGGGTCACCTAAAGAAACAACAGCCTGACTCCAGAGTCCTTCCGTTGGCTTTCCCAAAAGAGGCTAACAGAGAGTTCTCAACAAAAGCTCTGAAAACTGTGTGTCTTTCCTCCCTCTGCAACCTTCCCCCAAAACCAAAACCAACCAAACAAAAACCAAGTTATTTTGACGCTTATTTAAAAGATGAGGGAGACTTTATTCAAGACTATTGCAATGGGAGAGAGACAAGGCTCAACTCTGAATGCAGCAAGGACAAGTGGGGATTTACAGCCAAGGAGCAAAGTGAGGGTCAGTGATGGAAAATTACTGGAGGAGACAGCAAGGGTTGGGGGAGTCTTGCTAAACAGACTTAGTAGGAACCTTGCTGAAGGTAGGCCAAGGACTCAGATGTCAAAGCTGGGGAATGATGAACTTGATCAGATATCCAGGGTGAGGGATTCTTTCTAAGCTGACTCAGCAGCATTCTTGCTAAGACTGGGCCAGGCAGACCAAAGGGGTGGTGTGGGGTGGTGTTTGAAGGTCAAGGTCAAGTGGAGAAGAGGGCTCAGAGGACTCTAAACTTTGGTCAAGGAGAGTCTGTCACCCAAAGCTACCCTCTCACAGAGCGGCTCACACTCTCCCTCTCCGTGTGCAGTCCCCTCTCTCCTGCTCCTGTCCTCCCTTCCTAAGGACACCCCCTCCCCGAGCTGCTCCCCACCCTCTGGAAAGAGGAGGTAGGGCTTCTGCTTGACTGCATTTTCCCAAAGAACCAGCCTCCCTTCCCCACCCCACCACCCTGGAACTCTGATCAACAAACATCCCACCTCTTTGCAGCCACCTGGAAAATACTCAGCCCAAGGCCTAGACAAAGTGGCATTTAATCAGTGTGTGTGTGTTTTTCTAATGTTTAGCAACTAATAGGACTCTCTGCTCGGTTTCTTCTGCTAATTGGACTCTACAAAACGACTCCCCCCCTTCTCTCTCATGGCTTTCTCATGCATTCCCTCATTCATCCAATAACACCTGCAGGGCTGGGCCTCTGCTCCAGGTCCCGTGGAGGCCCTGGAGCTTCCCAGTGAAAGGGTGTCCCAGCCCTGTGCTCTCTATGCCAATGGACCTGCTGCCCCCAACACTCCTTTTCTGCGCCTTATGCATGTTCTGGCTCTTTCCTTCTGCCGGATCACTCACTATGCCTGGCATGCCTCTGGTGGCTGCCCTGGAAGCCACAGCTGGGTCAGGGCAATGGGGTCCACGGGCCAGTTTCCCTCGGTAGGGGGCTTAGAGGTAGAGGGATGCAGGACATAACAGACCCCCTCATATAGACCCACCTCTCCACAGGTGAGAAGCAGGGGTCATGTTACCTACCAAAGTGGCTCAGGAAAGAAAAGCTGAGTCTGGACACAGGGCGGGGGAAACAAGCAGACCCTCTGCCTCTATTCAGCATTCTCTCTATTGAAAGCCCCAGTGATGAAAACAGAGGAGCTGGGGTGTAGGGGTACCAGACATTGCCAGTGACCAGCAGATGGCAGTGTCTGCCAGCCCTCTGCATTTGTCCCAAACAGAAGGGCTGCAAGAGGTCCCCTGTGGAACTTCTGGGAAAGAACACACCCAGCTCCCTTCTCTGTCCCCTCCCCTCCCCCACGCAAAGGTCCAGAGCCCAGTGACAGGTTGAGCCAGGGGCCTGGAGCCTGAATGCAGCCAACTGGGTGTAGATGCCAGAGCTGTTGCCCTGGGTAACCTGGGGCCAGGCAGCCCTGAGCTGAGAAGGGAAATTCATCAGAGCCCAAGGAAGCCCAGGAAGCTCCTGATCATCAGACAGGAGGTCGAGCCAGAGCACTGCTGGAACCATCCCCACCTGTGGCCCAGGCAGCCTATCCAGGCCTTTCTGGGGGAGACGTTTGCAGCACCCCTTGGCTGAGTAGAGATCAGCATCACCAGATGTAGTGAGTGCCAGCTGGCAGCCGCCTCTGCAGGCGACATCGCCATCCCTCTCCAGCCCTCCCAGGGATACCATCCTCAGGCAGAGCCCCAGGCTAACCCTCTCTCCAACTCTCAGTCACAAAGGCCAGGGGCCATGGTGGGTCCGGACAGAGGGCAGGCTTCTGGCTGGGTGCCTGGCAGTGGCCCCGCCCACGTGCCCTCCGCCTCTCACAGGTGAACCCCAAGTGGACATCTGGCTGTCAGCCTCATTGTGCGTTTGAGGATCTAAAGCCAGGAAGGGCTGAGGGACTTGCAGCCCGAGGTTAGAGGCAGGATTTGACTTCTCGTCTCTTGACTCTCAAGACCATCAGAGTCATATCCAGGGGACATCTGTTCCATCTTCCAAAATAGTGTTTTGCAGGGGCCCAGAACCCCCAACA